TGGGTCCTAGACTACCCAGACTTAAACATAATAGTAGCTACGCACGGACTCTCATCACCTCGTGCGTAAATAGCCCCCACAAATAGAAGCACATAACTAATTATATCACATATGGGGACAATTCCCTCTTACAAGGTTAGAAAGGAGACTCACCTCGCTCTGAAGCTCCAAAACCGGCTTCCAAGCCCTTTCGATGACTCAAACCGATGCTCCAATGCTCCAAAACTAGCAAATAATTATGTAAATCCATTAATATATGCTAAGGTACTCATTATAATCCAATTTATAACAATTCCTAACCCCGATCAAAAAGTTGACAAAAATGCCCTTGGGCCCACATGCCCCGATTTCGAAATTTCTCGAAGATAAAGTTTACCCATGAACTCACGAACTCAAATATATGATTTTCTCTTAATTCCATAACCAAAATCGTGGTCAAAATCCAAGAATACGAATTTTTTAGGTCTTCCCTCAAACCCCAAGTTTCTACCAATTTCCATGTCCAAATCCGTATATAATCATGTATCTAACTAAAAACTAGCATAAATTACTTACCTCATGCTTGGTGGTAAAAATGACACCTCAAAGTTGCTCCAAAATTGGCTCCAATGGAAGAAATGGGGTTGAAATGAACCCAAACCCCGATTTAAAAGAACATTATTGCCTCCAACATTTCCGCACATGCGGTCTCTTGACCGCTTCTACAGTTTCGCAGGTGCAAACCAAATGTCGCTTCTGCGGTCCAGGGCTCCCAGCCCATTCCACTTCTGCGCTCTCTCCTCCGTAGATGCGGTCCCGCATCTGCAACAAAACGTCCGCAACTGCGGTCCTAGCCTAGCCGTCCATTTCCACTTCTGCGGCAGGAAGACCGCTTCTACGGCTCCGTACCTACGGCCCTAGTCTTGCAGGTGCGGTTACACCAGCAACCAGCAACTTCAGGCCTTTCCAAAATTCCATTTTCGCTCTGTTAACCACCCGGAATCCACCCAAGGCCCCCGGGACCCCGTCTAATCATACCAACCAGTCCCATAACACATTACAGACTTGCTCGAGGTCTCAAATCACATCAAACATCGCTAAAATCACGAATCGACATCCAATACAAGCTTTATGAACTTTAGAATTTCAAACTTCTACTTTCAATGTTTAAACTTATCAAATCACATCCGATTGACCTCAAATTTTGCACGCAAGTCATATTCGAAATCCGACCCCGATATCAAAAAGTCAACTCTCGGTCAAACTTCTCAAAAACCTTAAATTTTCTATCTTTAGGCAAATGACTCCAAAATGACCTACGGACCTCCGAATTCACTTCCGATCACGCTCCCAACTTCAGAATCACCATACGGAGCTACTCCTAGACTCGGAATCCCAAAGGACATCGATAAAACTGAAATGTACTTCAATCCAAACTTATGAAATTTCTTCCAAAATGCTAACTTCCACAATAGGCGCCAAAATGCTCCTCGAGTCTTTCAAAACCCGATCCGGACATACGCCTAAGTCTGAAATCATCATACGAACCTGCTGGAACCTTCGAATCCCGATTTCAAGGTCGTTTACTCAAAAATCCAATCTTAGCTAATTCTTTCAACTTAAAGCTTCCGAAATTAGAATTCTCTTTCCAAATCAACTCCGAACTTCCCGAAATTCAATTCCGATCGTGTACTCAAGTCATAATACCTGAAGTGAAGCTGCTTATAGCCTCAAACTGCTGAACGACACGCTAAAGCTTAAAACGACCGGTCGGTTCGTTACAATTAATGATTAGCAAGAATGGATGACGACTTCATTAAGCAGCTATAGGCGTTGTATCAACCCAACCAAATTAAGATACAAGAGGGTTATTATTAAATTGCAATAAAAGAAATAAATAAGTTAATACCAAAATCGGCATCAAACATGGCAAACCGCCAAAATTTTATTTATTACGGGAACCAACAAAATTTTGAGATTAAAAGTAAGAAACGGACCTCGATACAAAGCAATTTTGTATCTGAAAATGCTTAAACCTTAGATAGCGACAACCTCGACAGAACCTCGAACCTCGCGGACGAACTCGAACTCTACTCGACCCATAGAACACCGAAATTCAAAGAGCTGACCGGAACTTTAAGAACCGAGATTTGGGAATGCCGGTGTTCGCATTGTATCGTATTCGTCAGCTCAGCGAAGCTTTATCAATCAACTTGGGAAAAAACAAGAATATGAAAAGTCTTCGATTGGTAGTCTATTATATTGTCTCAATTCTAATGATTTGAGCCTAGAGAATTGCTACTGTTTCGTGACCTCCCCTTTTTACCATTCTAATTCCCAAATTCCCTCAGATTCCTCCGTTTCTTTCCAGCCTTTCTTCGTTCCCCCTATTCTCGTTTTTCTATCTATCTTTCGTGTGTGTTGCGGCTAATTAGAAGAAGGAAGGGTGTAGTCTTTTAATGGGTTAGGTCTAGGTTATTATGTGGGTTTAGATTATTGTGCTTAAGGAATGGGTTAGAAACTTGGGTCTTTATGACTTGATTTGCTTAAAATTATCTTAATTAATTAAAAATATATCCGTCCAACATCAAGTCTTGCCTATTAAATAAAAAAAAACAAAGATAGAAATATTACCAAAAATATTAATTAGACATACTTAAGTAAAAATAATTATTTAAATAAAATTAACTGTTAAAGCAAAATTATTTTTGGTATTTTCAAATATCATATTAAAATAAAAATAAGGTACTATTTTTGTATATATTTTTTTTAGTTTTACGAAAGGTATATAAACTAAAAGCAACTAAAAAGGAAAAATATTTTTTATAATTTTCATTTTTGTGATAAAATAAGGTAAAAGAGTCAAAACTAATTGAAATAACTATATTAGACCTAAACTAAATATTTAAATGCTAAAATATAAAAAATCTTGGGGAGGGTCAAATATCACATGTCTACACCCATAGTCACGATAATTTATTCCCAATTCGAGTGCACGTTTCACGTGACTCGATCATAACTTCGAACAATAATAAAAAAAATAAACATGTTGTGGATCGCGGGTACGGTTCCCGTGACGTAGTTTTCAATGTATACCAAAATGACAAGTGTACGACAATCGTAACTTGTTCCAGAATAATTCCACAAATAATTAAAAGCGGTCAAAAGCTAAAAATGCATAGTAGGTATAAAACATGTAATTGATTAGATAATTAGGCCAATAATAATAGTTGAGCGACCGTGCTAAAACTACGGAACTCGGGAATGCTTAACACCTTCTCCCGGGTTAACAGAATTTCTTACCCAAATTTTTGTGTTCGCAGACCATAAATAAGAGTCAACTTCCTCGATTCGGGATTTTAAACCAGTGACTTGGGACACCATAAATCATCCCAAGTGGCGACTCCGAATTTAATATAAATAATCTTGTTTCGATTGTCACTTAAATTGGAAAAAACTCCCTTATATCCCCTTTCAGGAGAAGAAAAAGGAGGTGTGACAGCTCTGGCGACTCTGCTGGGGAGCAGAGTCGTCAGAGCTGTCACACCTCCTTTTTCTACCCTCGGCGGGAGTATAAGGGAGTTTTTTCCAATTTAAGTGACAATCGAAACGGGATTATTTATTTATTGTTCAGAGTCACCACTTGGGATAGTTTATGGTGTCCCAAGTCACCGGTTTAAAATCCCGAATCGAGGAAAGATTGACTCTATTTTACAGTCCGTGAAATACAAAAATCTGGGTAAGGAATTCTGTTAACCCGGGAGAAGGTGTTAGGCACTACCGGATTCCGTGATTTTAGCACGATCGCTCAACTGTTATTATTGGCATATTTATTGGATTTTAGAACATTCTGGAAACCTATGTGCATTTTACTCCTTTTAAAACCCCTTTTAGTAATCCAATTGTTATACAACTAATTATTCGATTACAAGTTGTAAATCATGTCACGGGAGCCGTACCCACAATCCACAATATGTTTATTTTATTAACAAGATTAATTTATGCACGGTTACATAAATGTACCCCCAGATTTTAGAATTTAAGTGTCACAACTACGTCACGGGAACCGTACCCGTAGCTATGATAACTTATTAACGCGCCTAACGTAAACTATGAGAGTTCAATGGATTTTTCCGCATTAGCTACGGGAACCGTACCCGTAGCTATGACAACTTATTAACGTGTCTCAAGAAAACTACGAGAGTTCAAGGGATTTTTCTACATTAGTTAAGACGATCAATATGAGAGCCATAGATTATATGATCCAAATGTATGAATGGCATGCCTCAATTTCTTTCAAAGGAATTGCATTCAAATTAAAAGAACTATGGATATTCAGATTTAAAACTAATTAGGGATTAAGTATCACAACTACGTCACGGGAACCGTACTCATAGTTGTAACGATTTAATTACGTGCCTACAATAAACTACGTGCCTAAAGCAAACTACAAGGGATTATGTTTGAACTAAAATTGGCATTGTAAAGGGACTACCGGTTGAAAGCCTTTATGAAGAAAACAGATCAGGCCCTAAAGCGTTTGTGGAAATCATTGGCTATACTATAGTACATTAGATGGGAAAAGTGGGCTAATGAAATTCTTTGTCCCAAAATTCGATCAAACCCGACCCACACTTTAGATGAACTCGACCCGTTTGACCTTAAATGAATTGTGATCTTCTTCCCTAAGATTTCTTCTATTTCTAACGAAGGATAACAACAAAACGATGAATAACATATACTGATGTAACCAAAAGCATAAATCAATCAAGGAAAGCTACATAAACCATTTAACATGGAATAAGATAAAATGACAATTAAAGAAGAGAAACGAATACTGGTCTTTAAATCCTATGGCCCTTTTCACATACTCAATGATTTTATATTTTTCCTTGACTAACAGTTCTTCATCAGCAACCAAATATTCTCATGGACAGAAGCAACAAATTCAAAACATTTAAAAAATTCAAACCATGCTTCTAATTGCAAAATAAAACCAAGATACCGAGACAACATGAAAATGACCCTTGACAAAGGTTCTAATGTCTCCAACATAATTCCAGAACCAAAATTACATAGGCAAACTCCCCAATCACAATGTACATCCACTTGGTTCAAACATTCAACATTTTTATTTACGAGATTTTTAACACAAGCAGAATTCAAATCCTAGAAACTCAGATGTTACAATGACAACTTCATGCTCAAAAATAAGCCTACATCTATTGATATGCAAAGCAGAACCATGGCTAACAGAAAAGAAGATATACAAATTGGAACTTAGAAGCCAATTACTAAAAAAATCGATGACTCATTACATCAGCCTTAACACATGCATCTTCATATTCAACTCACACTCCAAGGATTTAAAGGAGTACCTGGATACAACAAAGCAAACAAAATCAAAAAAATGTATCTGAGATTAGCTTATGGCAGCAAAGAAATAAAATAGCTCAGCAACAAAGAACAACAATGGTAATCAACCAACAACCTCAATAACCAGTCATGTTTCAGCTTAGAAAACCCGAAAAATCCCCAGAAAAGCCACATCCAAACTTTTAGCTAAAGGAAAATAAAGCTCAAAACTAGATAGTTTTCTCAGAAAATTTTTTTTAGCCGTTTCTCTTTTTGGAGTCCTAATCTCTGCTTGGAAAATCAGGAAAAGAGCCTCTTATAGGAGAGCTTTAGGGCAGCAGATTTGATTTCAATCTTTTACTATTACCCCTTCCCCAATTTCCTCTTTTCATTTCAGACCCAACATTTAAACCTATTTAGCAATTCAACTTCTCTTCCCACTTTCCTAGAACCTTCCTTAGTGGTTATGAAAGATTCTTTCAATCCAAATCCCCTAAATACCTTTTATCTTATGTTATTTACCTTTCAGAAAGTACCAACAATATGGGCCATATAGCCAAACATGCTTAAATTTCCCCTTGGGCTTCTGTGCTAGCAAGCCCAAATTGGATCCAAACCAACAGTCATAAACGAATTCAACTAAGGTTTAAACAAACAACCTCTGAATTAAACGAGAAATAGATTTTTAAAGAAACACCCAAAAGACAAAATTTATTAACAAATGCAACTAAACTAATTATTAAGCTATCGTTAAACCATTACGAACTAAAAACAGTTTTTTTATAAACAAAATTAAAATCAGGAAAGGCCAGGGAAAGAGGAAGGGAAATGTACCGGCTATGTTTGCTAAAAATGCTGACCTGAAGGAAGTCAAACATGAGCCGATTACAAATACGACGAATAAGGATTTTGGCTAATGATGGGAATTGTAACATGATCACTAGCTGAAATTTATTCAACGGCTAGTACTTCATGTTACAATCCTCAACATACGCCAAGAAGAGGATGAAGCAGAGGATCTAAGTATTTTGGGCTATCGACGGTTGCTCGCCCAGGATTCGACCTCCATGAACCCAATTTGGACCAAAGCCAATTGACTCCTCCCCTCAATATATGAACGATTCAAGTATGCTCAATGTCGAGAAAAGACCAGATTATGAGGAAATTAGAAGAAAAAAAAAGGCGAAAGAGACTCCACTGTGGTTCTTAGATCCCTAATTTAGGGAAGATGAGTGATTTTTGGAAAGAAATATAAGTGGATTTGGAGTGAGGGGACGATGGGAGTTGCATGGTCAAGATTTGAGGGACTTTGGAGACCAACCGCCGCCACTGGCGATTTCCAGTAGGTGGCGGACGACTGTGAGATACAAGGGTAAAGGAGATGATGAACAAGGTCCTAGGTTGTAACTGGGGTATTCAGACATCTTTAAATGAGGGGAATGAGGCTTTACTGGCCGTTAGATGAGAGAAAATAAAGGGCTAAGATTACTTTAAGCCACTTGAACTCAAAACGACGTAGTATTGCCCTCATACTAAGTCGTTTCAAGTATCTTAGAGGCTGAAGAATTAAACCGTGAAAGTGGGCTGGACCGGGTAGACTGCACATTTGGGCTTGGGTTTTGGAGAAAATCCGGGTGCAACTGGCCCAAATTCAACACCTTAAATTAAGCCCTCTTTTTATTTCCTTCTTTTCCTTTTCCTTTGCTTTTCTTTTCTTTTTTTGTCTTTTTTCTTAATTAATAAAGATCCCAAATTAAACCCTAAATTAATCTAATGTAAAATTAAACTAAATAACAAATTAAAAAATACATAACAACTAAATGATCCTAACTTAAAGAGAAAATTAATAATCCAAAATTAAAGCTAAGAGTGCAAAAATGAACCCATTTTGTGATTTTTATTTTTTTAACAAAGCAACTAACTAATTAGTTAAACCTAAAAACATGGAAGTAGAATCTAAGCGCAATGCATGGTATTTTTATATTTTTGATGATTTTAATAAGAGTAAACATGCACAAAGAATGCAAACAATTAACACAAATCCCTACAAAATCTATAAAATTGCAAATAATTTTTGAAAAACTTTATTTCTATAATTTGTAGGAGTATTTCATATAGGGAAAAATCACGTGCTCACAGTCAGGTGAGTGTGAGGCGAGCTTTCAGAAGCTCAAGATAGTTTTGACCACGGTATCGGTGTTGGTTTTGCCCACAGGTTCAGGGCCATATACAGTTTATTGTGACGCATCTCGTATTGGACTTGGTGTGGTATTGATGCAGGATGGCAAGGTCATTGCCTATGCTTCGCGGCAGTTGAAGATTCATGAGAAGAACTATCCGGTTCACAATTTGGAGTTGGCAACTATTGCTCACGCGTTGAAGATTTGGAGGCATAATCTATATGGCGTGTCATGTGAGGTATTCACGGATCACAAGAGTCTGCAGTACTTGTTCAAGCAGAAGGAGCTAAATTTGAGGCAAAGAAGGTAGTTGGAGCTATTAAAGGACTATGATATCACCATCTTATATCATCTGGGAAAGGCCAATGTGGTGGATGATGCTTTGAGTAGAAAGTTAGCCAGTATGGGTAGTCTTGCATATATTCCGGTCGGTGAGAGTCCGCTTGCTTTGGATGTTCAGGCTTTGGACAATCAATTCGTGAGATTGGATGTTTCGGAGCCCAGCCGTGTATTAGCTTGCACAGTCACTTGTTCTTCTTTATTGGAGCATATCCGAGGTCGGTAGTATGATGATCCTCATTTGTGTGTCCTCAGAGACACGGGGCAGCACGGTGGTGCCAAGCAGGTTACATTAGGAGACGATGGAGTTTTGAGGATGCAGGGTCGTATTTGTGTGCCTAATGTAGATGGACTTCGGGAGTTGATTTTAGAGGAGGCCCATAGTTCGCGGTACTCTATTCATCCGGGCGCCGCTAAGATGTATTAGGATTTGCGGCAGCACTATTGGTGGAGAAGGATGAAGAAGGATATTGTTGCATATGTGGCTCGGTGTTTGACCTGTCAGCAGGTGAAGTACGAGCATCAGGGATCTGATGGTTTGTTTTAGAGGATTGAGCTTCCCAAGTGGAAGTGGGAGCGTATCACTATGGACTTTGTTGTTGGACTCCCACGGACTTAGAGGAAGTTCGATGCAGTGTGAGTCATTGTTGATAGGCTGACCAAGTCAGCGCATTTCATTCTTGTGGCAGTCTCATATTCTTCTGAGAGGTTAGCCGAGATCTATATCGAGGAGATTGTTCGTCTTCATGGTGTGCCCGTGTCTATCTTTTTTGATCGAGGTACGCAGTTTATCTCGCATTTCTAGAGAGCAATTCAGCATGAGTTGGGCATACGGGTCGAGTTGAGCACAATATTCCATCCTCAGACAGATAGGCAGTCCGAACATACTATTTAGATTTTGAAAGATATGCTCCGAGCGTGTGTCATTGACTTTGGAGGTTCGTAGGATCAGTTTTTGCCTTTAGTAGAGTTTGCCTATAACAACAGCAACCAGTCGAGTATTCAAATGGCTCCTTATAAGGCTTTGTATGGTAGGCGGTGTCGGTCGCCGGTTGGATGGTTTGAGTCGGAAGAGGCTTGGTTGTTGGGTACGGATCTAGTGCGGGATGCCTTGGACAAGGTCAGGATTATTCAGGATAGGCTTCATACAGCTCAGTCCAGGCAAAAGAGATACCGATCATAAGGTTCGTGATTTGGCATTCATGGTCGATGAGCGGGTATTGCTTCGGGAGTCGCCTATGAAGTGCGTGATGAGATTTGGAAAGAAGGGCAAGCTTAGCCCTAGGTTCATTGGCCCGTTTGAAATTCTTGATCGAGTGGGAGAGGTGGCTTACAGACTTGAGTTTCTGCCGAGCTTATCAGTTGTGCATCCAGTGTTTCATGTGTCCATGCTTCGGAAGTATCACGACGATCCATCCCACGTGTTAGATTTCAGCACTGTCCAGTTGGACAAGGACTTATCCTATGAGGAGGAGCCGATAGCTATTCTAGACCGGTAGGTTCGTCAGCTGAGATCGAAGAGTTTTCCTTCTGTTCGTGTTCAGTGGAGAGGTCAACCTGCTGAGGCATCGACCTGGGAGTCCGAGTTCGATATGCAGAGCCGTTATCCCCATCTTTTCCTCGACTCAGGTACTTCCTTCTTATGTCCGTTCAAGGACGAACGATTGTTTTAGAGGTAGAAATTGTGATGACCCAAAAGGTCATCACTTATTTTAGAAATAATTTCTATGTTTCGAGGCCTTAAAAATCTCTTTCTATCTCACCTCGATTTGCATGCACAGTCCGGGCACGTAGCCGGAAAGATATTATGTGAAAATCTGTGAAAAATGATAAATAGTGCCATTAAAATGAAATTAAGTTGGCTATCGGTCAACATTTTGGGTAAACGGGCATGGACCTAAGATTTGATGGTCTCGGAGGGTCCGAAGGAAAATATGGGACTTGGGCGTATGTCCGGAATCAAATTCCGAGGTCCCAAGCCCGAGAAATGAATTTTTAAAGAAAATTATTTTCTGGAATATATATGAGTTTTAGAAATGAAAAATATTTGGAAGTTGATGGTATCAGGCCCGTATTTTGGTTCCGGTGCCCGGTACAGGTCTTATTTGTGATTTAAGTCGAGCCTGTAAATTTTGGTAAGAAACGGAAGTCGTTTGATATGATTCGGATCCGTAGTTTTGAAAATTGATACTTTGAAAGTTTTGAGATTTTTCATAGATTTCAATGCTAAATTTGCTGTTTAAGATGTTATTTTGGAGATTTGATTGCATAGATAAGTTCATATGATGCTTTTGAGTTAAAAAGCATGTTTGGTTTGGAGCCCCGAGGGCTCGGGTGTGTTTCAGATAGGTATCAAAAGGTTTTTAAACTTAGAAATGTTGTAGGTTTTCAGTTCCGGTGCATAGGGATTTTGTGCTTCGCGTTCGCGTGGCTTCACTCGCGAACGCAGAAGGCAATATCCCTCAGGTGAAAAATTGTTCTTTGCGAACGCGTCCAGGCACTCGCAAACGCATAAGGTTAATGGTCTGGGGGAGGGGTTTCACATTTGCTCTAAGCGAACGCGGCCACCCGACCGCGAACGCGAAGGCTCTGGGGGCTGAAGCTCCGCGAACGCGAGCCTGTGATCGTGAACGAGATGGTCAGCTGGGCTTGACCCATTGTGAATACGACAGGCCCATTGCGAACGCGATGAAGGCCTGCCCAGTTATTTTAAATCATTAGCAAAAATGGGGAGAACCCATTTACTTCATATTTTCGAAATTTGGGAGCATTGAGGCGATTCTCAAAGAACAATTGCTTCCCCAAAACATTGGTATATGATTCTAAACCTTTTTCTTTCGATTTTCCATTG